TTGGGTAGTTTAGAGCATCGTCCTAATTCACAAATTGATCAGTTTCGTAATTGATGGACTTTTTTATGATTAGCAAAAATGATGTGAAGGTAGTAATTGTTTTTTTTTTGTTATTTATCAATTTATTTGGATTGCCTTTAGAATTGGACTTTTTTTTACTTTTCTTGTGTGATGTAATCGAGCCGAAGGTTGGCTTTCTTTTTACTTTTTATAGATTGATTTGGATCATAAATCAATGTTTCCTCTGTAGTTTCATAAATTGTGAAATTGTTGGTTGGATTTTGTGTGTAAAGGTACTTATTTCTTTTCTATTCATCGACTTATTTAAATTACATTTAAAATTGTATTTTTTTCAAAAAGTATTAATGTTATTGTCTATTGCAAGCAATTTGGATGTTTTAAAGGTTATTGGGATTGACTTTTTTTTTTACTTTTAATAGATTGGTTTTGATTAGTGATTAATGTTTCCTCTGTCAAGGAGTTATGCAATTGCTTGTTAGATAATAATTAATTATAAGGAGACAAACAAGTAAAACATGATGATGAGTTTTCCAATTTAGAATAAAATTTATCAAACATTATTCGCACGACGGAATTTCACATAAAGAATATATGGGTACATGCAACCTAGAGATCTATAGCTTTTTTCAAATAGTAACATTCTTTGAAAACTAATCTAATTACCCTAATGTAATAGAAAATTACATGAAATAAATCATACATTTTGGTATAATCAAATATACTAACTCTTGAGTTCTTAAAATGCTCCATGGAAAGCTAACATCCAATAGTGTGAATGTCTTTAATGGTTCACACCCAAAACCCTAGAACACTGTAACTTGAAAGAGAGAGAGAGAGAGAGAGAGAGAGAGAGAGGGGATACAAGATGAAAATTAGATTTAATCTTCCTTGGAGGCTTAGAACGAAAATGCAAGGCTAAGGGGTCCTATTTATAATTTTGGTAATTTATAGATAAATCAAGATTTGAACAACTAAATATTAGATTTAATTAATCATCAGTTCAAATTATTTCCTTATCAACAACCAGGGGGTTACTAGAAACCCTAGAAACTCCTCCAAGACCGTCCATGCTCATGGAGGGTTCTAGAATTGTTTCTTTTGTTCAACTATTGAACAATTATAATTCACCCCTTGCATCTTTAATTAATTCCAATTAATCTCGAATTAATTCCAGATTAATTCTGATTAATAATTAATCAATTCTAACTATTAACTATTTCTAATTAATATATTAACAGATCATTTTATTTCTCTCCTAATATCAATTCTAGTTGTTTTTGGATATGAGAGAAACCCCAAAAGGACTTTACTTTTATTCAATAAGATTATACCAATTTAGTTAAGGCCTTAGACACCTTAATCTAATAGTCTCCCACGTTGGATAAGTCGTTAACTACAATTGCAAGTATATACTTTGAATAACCAGTAAATAGTGCTCTCCACAACCATTGTCGAACTCTGATAAAATAAAACATAAGTCATCAGGTATTGCTTCATTTTACAAGATATCGTATGGACACGAGACATGGATACAAATCAATCTCATAGCTAATATTCTATTTCTTGATTTCCGATTTATGATGTTTGGATTCAGACTACTAATTGAACACATCAATTTAGTTCGAGCTAGACCTAACACATGAATGCCAACATCAAATCACTGAGCGGACAAAAGATATCGTTTTTCCTGTTAAGGCAAAAGTAATGAGTAAACTTTGACTATAATTAGCATGTCATACATGGAATTACACTTTATGACATCTAGTTACAAATGTGTTGATGCAAACCAATGTATAACAGACTTGTAAACTATGACTTATATATCTCCGTTTGAAGAATGGAAGATATTATCTTCTTAGAATTACTCATGATTGAATCCATGAACTTGTCTCTAACCATGGGTTTAACCAATACTTAAAATCCCTATTTTCCAAGTACCCATTAATATTGTAGTAATCCCTGTGCAATGTTCAATCACCATGTATAATCTACAAATATTCAATGATGGTCTTAAATTAGTACCTACTCCCAAACGTACGACTGAATGTGGCATTTTGATTAAATTAATATTAAAGAAGTAACATGTAAAATGAAACACAATAATAAACTAATTGTTTTATGGCATCACACTCTTTGAATATAAGTAATTCCCCATTGTTTAATGACTGTTGTGAACGAATCATCAAAGAGATATCCATGCATTGACCTTGTGTGATCTCAAGAATCCTTAGTCAACATGACTGCACTTTTATATAATATTTGTAATGGCAATTTGTTACTCAAAACATGTAACACCCACAAGATAGGGCTAGATGATTAACAAAGTGTAGGATAATTGTTTGTCATAACAATAAATAAATATTATCAATGGAAGATTATTTAGGGAAAATAATTTAAATGCAAGTCATAGTGGTCGCTAAACCAAGAGCGTGCATATTGAGAATGTCCAAATCTAACTTTGTATGAGGAAGTTATCATTTTTCGAAGTATTCAACATAGTTGTGTTAGAATAGAAACCAAAATTAACATCGTTCGATTGTTAGGAAAAACAATCTAAATGAGAGTCGAAGATTACGTTGACACAATTTCAGCAATATAAAGCAATCGAGAACAGATGTCGTATGAAAGAGTTATGATTTTTATATGGACTTTAACAGTCTAAGCCAATAAAAAATATAACTTTAAAAAATAAAGTAATAATTAGCCGACGGAGTCTACATGCAAGTTGTAGATATCATCGATAGCGACGCATCGATATAAAGAACGTCAAAAATGGAGCTCATATGAAGAAGATATGATTTTTTTGAAAAATCAAAAATCCACACGTGCGTTAGGGGAACGGTGTGCATTAGTCTGCCGACATGGTGACATGGACAAATCTGGACCTAACACGTGGCAGCAAGGGGCAGGTTAAACGTCGCTCAACTTGCACTGAGTGTATCTTGCTGGCACGCCGGCGCGCGCCTATTCAGATATAAATACCCCATGAATTCCTTCATTTCTCATCCCATACTCTCTTATCTCTCTCTGAAAATTCTTTGGTTCTTAAGTTCCAACTTTACTGGACTTCTGAACTCGTTTAGCTACGCTCTAGGATAACTAGAAGCATAACCAGCAGGAACACTCGAGTCATAGTTCTGCCAATGCAATCTCCCGATTTTCGTTAGAAAATTTCTGTAGGTTAAGCTATACTTATATCACTTTCAGTGTAACTTATATTTATATTCACAGTTGTTATGAATTCAAAAATAAAATTTATCAGCAATTTGAAGTCATATTACGGATTGATTTACTTATGGGAGTGATGTCTAGGCTTGATTTAGTGAGGTGTTTAAAGTGAGATTTCCAAACAGTATACTCTGTATACCAAACGGACCCTACCTATGACATGATCCTACCTGATTGTTCCTTAGTTGATAGATCTTGATGTAGACATTGGGATTAGTGAGGAATCTAGACTATCATTAGTCTACGAGAATATAGGACTAAGACATACTAATATGAACTTAGGTCACGTCAAAGGAAAAGTCAAGATTATTGGTGGAGCGCTTCCGAATTCTCTAGTTGCACACCAAAGTCAAGTGAGTGCATAGTTACTTTCATCTTACACACACACACACACACACACACATATATATATATATATATATATATATATATATATATATATATATATATATATATATATATATATATATGAAGTATTTAGATAATTAAATGTTATATGTGCTTATGTGCAAAGATGTTCTGTGTTACATGAGATGTTTTAAAGATAAATTTATACAACTTATACCGTATATGTATTTGTATGAATATAATACATTGGGTAATGAAAGGTAAAAATGATAACATGCCATAGTACGATGAAAGACAAAATAATGGTAGGATGTCACAACTTTAATAGTACTATTATACTGACGATGTAGTAACTAGTACTATTGTACTAACGATGTAGGAACTTGTACTTTTGTACTAACGATGTATGGATTGGTACTACTGTACTAACGATGTAGGGACTAGTACTATTGTACTAATGATGTAAGGACTAGGACTATTGTACTAAAGATGCAATCATCTAATACAATATAGATGGTAACCACAATAATTACAACGATGATCCTTAAGATAGGTCTCTATAGATGAATAAAGAAGATAATGGGAATGCGTAATCGGGTTCATTGTTTGATATGAAATAGATAAATAAAAAAAATTAACTATATTATTGTGGGTTGAAAACCCTATGTACTCACCGGGTTTCCCAACCTGGCCCACTCAGTTGCTTTGTATCACAGGAATTAGTATAAAGATAATGATGTTCGAACCTAATGAGAGTTTCGAGGAAATATTGGCCATAGCATAAAAGATATTGTAAGACCTATAGTGACTACATTTATGCTTATGTTTCTTGTATCAGTTATGACATCCCAAGTTTTAATAAATCAATAAAAAACATTTCTTTGGAAATACTTCTACGGGACAAATTCCGCTATATAAAGAATACTTTGTTTTAAAATAAGCATAAATAAAAAGGTCTTTTCTGATGGTGAAAATGGGGATGTCATAGTTGGTATCAGAGCATTAGTTTAAGCGAAATAGGAATTTTAGGAAGTCTATACTTAAACATAGAATGCTAAGTGATGATCATGAGATGAGTGTCTATTAAATTTTAGGCAATATACTTGAATTGACAGTAACACTAGCTTACATTAGGATAAGATGCCTAATTTGTTGTATTATGCTAAATGATTTACAATATAACAAGCCTTAGGTTTCCAAAATGTTATTACTTAACTAAATTCATGGTTTATTGCCGACCTTGATCTAAAAACTTTATGTGTTCGGGATTCTAAACGTTTAATTACGGTATTAGAACTGGCATATAACTTTCAGAGTGATAAGGAGGATCATGGAGTGCAGCTTCCCTACCTGCGGAGGAGCATGTAGTACATATTGCTTCTGACCTTACCGACACCCTAGCAATGATCGTTCCTTCTGAGGAGGAGCCAATACAGTACATTGATGACACCGAGCCTGACTATACTCCAGTCGAGCACCCGTATGAGCCCGTCTACACTCTAGCTGATCACTTCAGCTCAGACCCTTCGAGCTTGTTCAGTCACCAGTTGGACTTGAGCTTCTCAGCTCAGATTATGAGCCAGACGAGGACGAGGAGGATTCCGCCACATCCCCATAGATCTCACCACATATTCCAATTCCCCGATCACACTGACCCCGCTTTACTAGTACTCGTGTAACCACGAGAAATACTACTACTATCCTCTCTCGGAAGAAAGCAGCATCCCCGCCAACATCACCACCGCCAACGAAGAAACAATGTGGGGACTACACATGGATGCTCCAGATTAGAGCTTGCAGACAGGAGAAGGATACCAACTCGTTCTTTGAGGTAGGGGAGTCCTCTATCACACCTACCCTTGTCTCGGACAAACCAGTTGAGTACGCTATCTCCTTCCTTGTACCATGGACTGCCCATCACTCACATCGTATATGGACTCCGAGCTATTTCTTTTGAGGATAACCCTGAGGCAACTAACAGAGCGAGTATAGTATCTTAAGGAGGAGAGGGATGTGATGGAGACGATTATCCTACTTACTCAGGACCAGTTACAGGAGGCGAGTGATAAGGCTCATTTTCATCATAATCTGTTTGAGGAAGTGGCCAGTCACACCGATAGATTGGAGCTTTAGGTAAATAGGGAAGAGTCGAGGATTTCGTTTTTCGATGTTTTGATAGATTATGTTTATAGACAGCTAGTGCAGTTGATGGCACTTCTCATTGTGTTTTGTGGATATTAGGCTTTTCCTTTTCACGATGGCTAGGATGGACACATTTATACTTTTGGGTTAGTGTACTAGAAAAGCTCGCTAAACGTACTTGTTTATTTTGTAACCTCGGAGCATTTATTACTCTTACCACCTTTTTTGTGGCCAAATAGTATGATATTATGATGCATATTATACATATATGGTTTTATGAATTATGTGTTGTTGTTTTATTACTCTACTACTTTATTTAACGCTAACACTAACACACCACGCCATAACCATATCCACGAGGACGCTACCTTAAAATGCGATCGAATAACTCACGTTTCGAAACTAACTTTAGGAATTAGGAAATGGAACCCCCCAAGACTCACCAGATCTAACCATGGGCTCTAAAAGAGCAAAATGCACAGTCTATTCAAAGTAACCCACCTCTGGACCACGCGGCCATTGAATCCATGGTAGAGTAGCGAATAGCTAATTCTATGGACACGCTTTAAAACAATCGCCACACAAACTCTGGGATAGGGAGCAGGAGGCGAAAGCTCCCAAGGAAACATTCATGGTGCTCCAAGAGCATGTACCTACAAAGAATTTATAAATTATAAGCCTAAAATGTTCTATGGGAACGAAGGACTCGTAGGCCTCACAAGATGGATCGAAAAGACTAGTCTATTTTCAAAATCAGTTCTTGGGTTGAGGGATGCAAGGTGAAGTTTGTCGCTTGCACATTCGTGGATACAACCATGCCATTGTGGAAAAGCCATATCAAGACCATGGGCCTCACCAATACAAATGCCCTTCTTGGGAGCAACTTAAGCAAATGATCATTGAGGAATATTGTCCTCAGGGGGAAATGCAACTACTGGAGCAAGAGTTATGGAACCTGACAATGAAAAATGCTGACATGTCGATCTACACCAATAGGTTCAATGATCTCACGAACCTTTGTATAAGCTTCGTGAATCCAGAGTACTAGAGGGTTAAAAGATACATATGGGGATTGGTTCAACCCATCCAAGGGTTGGTCACGATATCTCGACCAACGATGTATGACAGTTCCAAGAGGTTGGCATACAGCTTAACCAACCAAGAGATAAGACGAGGTACTTTGGTCCAAACAGCTGACCTCCGGAAGTCAGGAGAAAACAAGTGTAAGTGCGAAAGCGGATTTAAGGTTACCTTCAAACAAGCTCCAAGAAAGAAACATGAGACTGTCGGGGAATACGCCGTCATTCCAGCCTTAACACCGGCTACAGCCCCCACAACTAAAGGGCAGTACGCGGGTAAGCACCCAAAATGCAAATTATGCCACTTCCACCACTCTGACAACTACATTAACTGTAAACCATCAAATACTGCAGAGAGTCCGCAGCGGCACCTGCCACCAGAACTAACCCAGGGGTTGATATCGTGATAAATAATCGAGCCTGTTTCGAGTGTGGGATTACTGGACATATCAAGAGGAGCTTCCCAATGCTGAGAAATAATGGAGGAAATTCCCACGGTAGAGTTTTTGTGATTGGCGCGAGGGATGCCATCCAGGACCCCACCGTTGTAATAGGTACATTTCTTGTTGATGGTTTATATGCATCTATACTCTTTGATTATGTTGCTGAAAGAAGCTTTATTACACCTAAGTTTAAAGAACTTTTAAAGCATAATTCTAGGAACCTAGACGAGACTAACGAAGTGGAAATGGCCAACAGAGAACCACACCTTTCATGTCAACCTCATGCCTATGATTATCGGAAGTTTCAATGTCATAATTGGCATGGATTGGTTATCACCACACTGATCCGATATTTTATGCTACGACATGGCAGTATGATTACCTTTAGCCAATGGGGAATCCTTAGTGATCTACAGAGACAAGCCAAGAAAAAAACCTTAGAATTATCTATTGCATGAAGGCGCAAAAATACATTCACAAGAAATATCACGCTTTCTTATCCCACATAGTAGATAAGAGGAATGAGAAGAAGGAAATCAAAGACATACCCCAAGTATGTGATTTTCCCAATGTATTTCTGGAGGACTTGCCCGGACTAACACCAATTCGTGAGGTCGAATTCTGAATTGATCTAGTTCTAGGGGCAGTGCTAGTAGCAAAATCTCCTTACTGATTAGCCCCTTCGGAAATGCAAGAGATATTTGGACAACTTCAAGAGATTTTGGATAAGGGCTTCATAAGACCAAGCTTCTCACCATGGGGAGCCTCGGTGCTATTTGTCAAGAAGAAGGAAGGAACCTTCAGAATGTGCATCGATTACCGAGAACTGAATAATTTAACAGTCAATAATAGGTACCCACGCCCAAGGATCAATGACCTATTCGACCAGTTTCTAGGATCCAACTTTTATTTGAAGATTGATTTAAGGATAGGGTACCATCAAATTTGAGTACAAAAGTAAGACATCCCAAAGAAAACATTTAGGACTCGCTATAGCTATTACGACTTTCTAGTTATGCCTTTCGGTGTAACCAACGCTCCAGCAGTCTTCGTGGATCTAATGAACCATGTATGTAAACCTTACCTGGATAAATTTGTGATTGTGTTTATCGATGATATATTGATATACTCACGGACTGAGGAAGAAAACTGTTAACACCTACGCATCATCTTGGAATTATTGAGAACAAACAAATTTTACACCAAATTCTCAAAGTATGAGTTTTGGATCAGAGAAGTACATTTTCTTAGACATGTGGTCAGCAACAAGGGCATTCACGAAGACCCTTCCAAAATCAAGACGATAAAGAATTGGGAAGCACCTACAACGCCAACGTAGGTACGCCAATTCTTAGATTTGACAGGTTACTACTGGATATTCATCGATAATTTCTCTAAAATAGCCAAACCCCTCACAGCACTGACGCAGAAGGACATAAAGTTCAAATGGGAGGAGAAACAAGAATTTGCGTTCCAGAATCTGAAACACATGCTATGTAGTGCACCAATCTTATCACTTCTAGAAGGAACCAATATTTGTTCGTCTACTGTGACGCCTCACACCAGGGTATGAGGTGCATACTTATGCAAAGAGATAAGGTGACCGCCTATGTTCCGCGTCAACTTAAGGTGCATGAGAACAATTACACCATCCACGACTTAGAGTTAGGAGCTGTAATTTTCGCCTTAAAAATATGGTGACACTACCTATATGGCACCAAATGTACCATATACACTGACCACAAAATTCTTCATCACATCTTCAACCAAAAAGAACTCAACGTGAGAGAACGAAGATGGCTAGAACTGTCGAATGACTACGAGTGTGAAATCCGCTACCACCCGGGCAAGGCTAATGTAGTAGATAACGCCTTGAGAAGAAAGGAACGAGCCAAGGCTCACAGAGTGAAAGCACTCTGTAACGCCAGCACATCCGGGCTAGTCAATTTAGAGACAATGAGTGTCAAAAATGAGTTTTTTATGGAAGATTACTTAGAATAAATAATCTTAACCAAGTTGTAGAAGATGTCTCAAGGGTTCCGTACATATAAAGAACGCCGAAATCCGAGTTATAACGAAGAAGTTATGGCCCGTCGAAGTTTTACGGCAAAACCGACACGGCACCGGGAGACGTAAATAGTGAATTTATGATAAAGGACTTTTTAGCCTTAGTAATCCAAACAAAAGTCGTAGTGTTCGTTAAACCGAGAACATCCATAAAAAGAAGGCCCAAATCTGACTTCGTATGAGGAAGTTATGAATTTTCTAAGAATTGGCATAGCAGTGCACGACCCGAAACTCGAATTTTAGTTCGAGTGGTTTTTAGCCCACGCGACGTAAATGAGATTTGAAGATCTCATTAATAGGAACTCAACGGTAAAAAGACAAACGAAAACAGAGTTTGTATGTAGAAGTTATGAATTTTACGTAGTCATTTAACAGTATAATCTTCTCATACTTTTAATTTAAGATCGGTCGAGAATTAGCCGATGGGGTCAAAAGGAAAGTTGTAGAGCTTGTCATTACCTACGCGTGGATATAAAAAACGTCGAAAACGGAGCTCGTATACGAAAGTTATGGGGTTTAGAAGTCGGCAGGGTGCTGTAGCGAAGTGGGTGACGTGGCGCAATCTAATGACGAAATGTGGCACCAACTCGATGAGTTGGACTAGCAACTCGACACGTTGGGGGTCAGAAACTCGACGAGTTGATCCAGAAACTCGACGAGTTCACCCCTTTTTCAGCCTATAAATACCCCCCCCCCCCCCCGAGAGTTCCTTCATTTTTCATACCAAAACCCACTTATTCTTCTCTTTACTCACTCTCTAAACCTCCTAAAACACCCCAAGAAGCCTAGGAAACCTTTCTAGCGCTAGAAGGAAGCCTCGGAGAGCCTGGAGTCTCCGAGAAAAAGAGTTTTTCGGTTTGAAACTCTGCCCGTGTAGAGCCCAGTTTTCAAGCAAACTTCACGGTTTTGTTAAAGAATGTTATTTTAAGAAGCGAAGTGTTGTCCGAA